TGAACCTAAGAATTTCTTTGGAATATATTACGCATATCTAACCTCCGTCTACTCCGACGTTTAATGATAGCTAACAAAATAAGGTCAAAAGTTTGCGAGCAACAAACAAAGAATTATCACATGAATTTGCTTATTCATTGGCTAACTTTAACAGTTACCAGTACTGTAAGACGTAGTATTGTCTATATAAGTGTAGTTCTCAAATTTAATACAATAAATGTATATGCTTTACTATATTGATGCTTATTTTTTGTTGGAAAATGTCTACTTTTAGGCATTACCGTGGATTTGAATTAGCGCAAACGGATCATGCGTGGAAATGGACATTAGCAGCGACTGTCTTAGCAGGATTTGGATTTTTCGCGTTTCAAATGGCGAAAACCCACTTGTAGTATATACATATTCACACACATTTCTTTCCCCTGTATTATATTATTATCTTCGAAGTGGTCTCAACCAGTTGTCTGCACGCTTTTCCACACTTTCTGATGACGACTCATTACAACATTGCTACATATTTAGGCGGACAAATTCCAGGAAGTAATAAATTGTTTAGAAGATTATTGTTCACAGTAATTGTAATAACTATCGTCACTTATAAACCACAATCCTTAAAGTATATAAATATACATAACCCAATAGTCATCGGGGTTTTCCAAAATATCCTGCTTATTTCTTTTTTGATGTAGCTGCATTAATTAGTGGCAGCAAAAAAGATTTAAAATTCCTGTAGGGTCTGTAGTCTAGAGTTACTTTCTCATAATCTTGAAAGTTTTCACCGTCGAAATTAACGACCAATCCGTGTCGACTATCGATGGTGGGGTTTGTTATTTCAGCCATTTTCGTGACCCAGTATGTATGACACCCCTCGTTCTCTGTTATCTTCGCTTATTTTTCATAGTGCTGTAGTTATGATTATTTAAGTATGCAATCATTGTGATGCATTTGTGACGCCCTCTATAATTACGTTCTGTTTATCAACTCGGCTGAGGTTCATCTTCAGAGTGCATATAAATCCAGTCAATCTCTTTTATGAATTTCTAAATTTTCGTTCTAACAAATGGATAATCTAGTTTTCTAAAGTTTTTGTTGAGGTAATTTCAACTAATGTGAAAGTTTTGATATCAAATGTTCTACAAAGGTGGCATTTTGTCACGTATTCATTCTCTGTTAGTATTTTTAACTGTGAGTTCTAATTATTGACGCTGCAAGCTGTCGATGTTGCGTAATGAACTACTTCATAGTGATCCTCAGTTGTCGAAAAACCAGTTGTCCACACTCACGGATGACGTGATTTATTCACCGTAGTAGTGATCCCTACTTATCTATTAACATAGATTTATGTTAAGTAAACCGATAGTCTCCGGTGACAGGTCGCTTTTTACTCTTACTGCTAATAAACAATGAATATTAACGATCGCAAACTAAATCAGGTAGGTCTAGAATTACGTCCACACTAATTGAACTCCTTTAATTGGTCACGTACGGCATAGTATAATCTTTACTAATGTAGGTACCATAGGTTTTTGTGACACCATCGATCATAGAAGTCCACTGTCAAATCTACACAAAGCGTCCTAATGTACAGAAGGTGTATCTATACAAGAACGATCATTAGTAAATATGTATAATTCAGTGTAGGTATACTCTACTCGTTACACTACTCACGGACATACATTACCAACTATGCAACCAGTCAGTTTTGCCTACCATATGGCTTGCACAAGTGAGCAATATTCACACTACACTAACACAACCACAAATAACTGTATTAGCAATGATAGTGGAAAAGAACACTGGAGATAAGGTTCGTGAAGATGAGATGAAAGACATGTATTATCATGAACTATTTTTATCGGCCCGATGAGATATTAATTTGTTGAATCTGCTGAATATCCATGAAATACGTTGTGCACTAAGACAAGTGATTTTCAGACATCCTCAACCTGCGTATTTTTGAATGATGCTTAATTAGCTAACTTAATAAAGAGCTGATATCTACGGTTGCTTTATAACTACTATCTTGTTAATGTGTTTCCTCTCTACACTGATGAAAGGTTCCTAATGGCAATCGATTTAAACACACGATCTCTGAAGCTGGACATACAATGGCTGAGAAGACTTACTTTAGATTTTGGACAAATGGAGAAGGTCAAGAAAGACGAACGCTGAAACGATCAACAGTGACTCAGTTGCTCGGCTATACAACCGTAGTCACTCTATGTAGCTTCTTGGCACTTATATAAAATAAACTATTTTATGTTTGGTCCAAATGTGCCCCTAAAAACTTACTACAAATATCACTGGCTGTCACAACACGATGTGCCAATATAGAAGATCGTGTGAATTCAACGTAAGAGCTTTTAGGTTGGATAATCACATCATGGCAAGTCCACTACATTGGATAGGGTCTATTATTCTATGGCCATAAACAAATTCATTTATACAGTCTAACCCAAATCTCAAAAGTTCTGTGAATCACACGTTGGTAAGCATTAGATGCAAAGTAAATAAAGCTCCTCAGAAATATTAGTCATTTTCTTAAAGATTTTCACCTAAAATATCTTTTCTAACGCGTTACATGAAGACACCGTCGAAAATCATTTCTTCGCTTTCAGCTGGTCTGTCATAAGGATTGCGAAAACAGCAACATCTGATGTCAGGACCAGTACAGAATGAAAAAGTAACGCATCTTACTGTTTACAGGCCTTAACTCATCCCTTTATCCGGTACTGATCTATGTATCAATACAAAATAGCATTAAATGAAATATTGGTGGTAGAGCTATGTTGACATGAATCCTGCTCAGGTGAATTACCGAGACGGATTCACAGTCCCATAACGTCATAAACTGCCACAAAATGATTAGGATTACCTCAAAACAATTATATATGTCTATAGCTTATCATTAACCCTATGATATATGACCAGGCTAGAAGTCAAATAAATGTCAGTCCGAAACGTTGGATAAGAAACTGACCTATCTGAAGAACATTTATGATTTTTTATTTACTTGTGGGACCAGCGTAATAACACTGGGGCCTAGACAAATCATTCGTCAGGTTGAAAAGATTTTGCAATAGACGACTGATCACTAAAGGTTATATAGATTGTCAAAGATTGTTAACGTCAAGGATGACCCATTGTGGATCGATCACTTGCACACCATGTACTGGCCCGTGCAACATTGATGGCACCCTGTTAATTCAAAGTATTCTTTAAATGTACTTCATCAATACCATCATGTTTTTTATATACGATTATCAAAGTAGTCACAGGACCTGGATAATAATAAATGTAATGCTCACGTTAGTTACTTACCGTGAGGTATGACTTCAAAGTGAGTTATGAAATCACGTCATTCCGTTCATCTGACTAAATCACTATCGTCGACACAAATCTACAGGTCTACATGTCCAGCAGATGAATTGCAAACTTCCCACACGACTCATAATGTTCATATAGTAAGAATAACGAATAATCAAATCCAGGTCTGTCGGATCATCGTCAAACAATCAGTTGAGTGGAACTCGTCACTATACATCAACTTCATTGATTACGAAAAGGCATTTGACAGTGTAGATAGGAGGAACTTCTTCGACACTATGGAGTCCTGAGAAAATTGTCATCATTATCCGGAACTTTTACGACGGACTACAGTGCAAGGTCGTGCATGGAGGACAACTGACAGATGCACTCCAAGTAAGGACCGGAGTCAAACAAGGTTGTCTACTCTCACCTTTCCTCTTTCTTCTGGTGGTCGACTGGATTATGAAGACCTCGACATCGGAAGGAAAACACGGCATACAATGGATAGCTCATAACCAATTAGACGATTTGGACTTCGCAGATGACCTAGCCCTCCTATCGCGTACACACGAACAGATGCAGATAGAGACAACCAGCACAGCAGCAGTCTCTGCATCAGTCGGCCGCAACATACACAAGAAGAAAACCGATGTCCTCCAAGTCAAAGCGAAGAACAGCAATCCAACCACTCTTGATGGCGAAACTCTGGAAGTTGTAGAATCCTACACATACCTGGGAAGCATCATCGATGAACAAGGAGGTTGAGATGCAGATATGAAGGCGAGGATTGGCAAAACAAGGGCCGCATTCCTACAATTGAAGAACATATGGAACTCAAAACACCTGTCAACCAAGATCAACGTCACAATCTTCAATACGAACGTCAACGCAGTGAGTTCTACTGTACGGATCTGAAACGTGGAGAACTACTACAACCACAATCAAGAAAGTGCAAGTATTTATAAATAGCTATCTACGCAAGATACTCAACATTCATTGGCTGGATACCATCAGCAACAGCCTTCTCTGGGAGAGAACAAACCAGCTTCCAGCTGAAGAGGAAATTAGGAAAAGGCGATGGAAATGGATAGGACATACATTACGCAAATCGTCAAACTGCATCACGAGGCAAGACCTAACTTGGAATTCGAAAGGAAGCGGAAAAGAGGAAGACTAAAGAACACAACGTCGGGAAATAGAAGCAGATATGAAAAGGATGAATAACAACTGGAAGGAGCTGGAAAGGACTGCCCAGGACAGGGTTGGATGGCGAATGCTCGTGAGCGGCCTATGCTCCTTCACGAGGAGTAACAGGCGTAAGTAAGTAAGTAAGTAAGTAAAGCTAGGTCTGTGTTACTACTATAATTAACATTTGTGTGGTTAGAAGTAACAGCACGTTTGTAGTTTGTTGGACAGTCTTCCACACCACTTCGAATCGGTTGAAGAACAGCAGAAAACTATTGAGTAATAAATATGTTATTTCTATTCGTTTTGTACCTCAAAGCAGTCTGATAAATTTAGCGAAGTTACAAACACAGATTCCTGGGCTTCAACTTAGAAGCCTCAAGCTGTTAAACCGTTGCAGTTATCACTTGGCACTCATAGTGTTCAGATCTAGATAGATGAAAAAACTAAGGCGGATAACTCGCTTCGAAGGTTACATCGTGGCCTTGACGCCCAACCTTGGAAAGATGACCGTCGATCAGGTTGTAATCATTTCTTTTCTCATAATGTCCTAAGTGTCTATCCTTTATTGAAAAAATCTTCCAACTACTGTTTCGATTGCTTCACTGACTTACTATCGGTAATTTTAATTATCCCGCTGAAAACCTGCGAAATTTCGACCTGGATAAAAAAATGATCATGCCTATTTAGTTAACACACCATTTGCGGGCAAGACAAAGTCATCACTTTGTCTACAGTCCATCCTAAACACAATAATGTTGAATTTACTTAACACCTAGGTGTTGAGCTTACGTTTGTTTTCAGTACACTATTGAATGTTCAGATATTCGGATTGTACATATTGTACATATGAAAACGATCTTTGTAGCCCATATACATCTACAATTCGGTAGTCTTTTATCATAAATATCAGCAATGTCTTTTCGAGCATAGTTGGCTTTTCGGAACCACTAAACACCACTGATTTTTTTGTCATTGAATTTATAAATATTATAACTATGGTGCTAGTCAAGTATATACTAATCGAGAGAGTCCATGATTTGTAATTGTCTAGATGTCTGTTTCATGCTGAGTGAAGGTTATCATAGTTTCTCTCGTAACAGGTACTAATACTTACTGAGAAACATTAGTAAAACCCTTTTCTAACCCTTCTTAGTGTATGTCATATATATGTTAACGGGCGATGACAATAGAATACAACGGTCTTGCCGTATTTCAATAAGGAAAACAATTTATATATAAATTGTTTGCGTCTTGTCTTTGAAATCTCCATCACTATGTGTAATGAGCCTATTATTTACGAATAATTTCAGAGCCGCCCTACTTTGGATGCAACACGCAAGACTTTTCTGGCACCTATGGTACGTGTTTCAACACATCCCATGCGTCTTCTGTGTCTGGAATATGGTGCAGATTATGTAATTTCTGAAGTATGTTGGGTTGTTTCGTATAAATTCACTGATTAATATTACTAAAGACTGTATTTGTTATTGAGGCATCGTTGTATTTCGTTGTTTCAGAGCTTTTTTAGTTATTAGATTTGAGTGCAAATCCATCTACACAGTTGAGTACGTGGTTTTAATTAAGAATTCTAAGAAATACTTTTATTTTAAATGATGAGGCTGTTTATTCTACCTTTCATTGTTGTAATCCTAATCTCACATACTATTCAGGTTTGTTTTCTATAACTTCAACATTATAGACTGCGTTTCTTTACCACAAGTATATATTTTCTCAAACGATAGCTTATTCGAATTGTTTTCCAAAACGTAATCAAACCAGTACTGTGGCTTCCGATGCATATTGAGTTTTTAGTCAAGATGTTTGGTACATGGGAGTTTATTGGTTGGATTTAAACGTTTTATGATAGTGGATTTGCGCTGGCTGCCTTGAGCGATCGAATCCAAATTATATTATGGTGCTGAAACAACATAAGTTATGTATGAAAGCAGATTGTCCTATTTGATGCTCCCAAAAATGTGGTAACCAACAGAGTAAATAGTAGTCTACAGTTCAAACTTAGTTAATTTCTCTGTGGTTAGAGCCTTTATTTATTTATTTATTTGAACACATAAGCATTGGTACAAGAGAGCGCCAATATATATGCGCCACACAAAACAATGAGAATTCGAAGAGAAATAGAAAAAAAAGCTAAGGAGCGCAAAAAAAGAGAACAATAACGAGGAGATTGGTGTAAGGTAGTATGGTAGAAATGAGGGAACGGAAAGGTACAATCGGAAGAAATCTTTCAGGTAAGGGAGATACAACCACTTTTTATGAAGAAAGTAAAAGAAGGTTACAGCGGGATCGCCACTGGCTTCTATTCTGAGCCATATCTGATAACGTCTCTAGCCACTGTGTAGCACCATCTCTCGGACCACAACCAGGGAGTCGTGAAGGACCAACAGGAGCCAGTCATTTTCAGCTTTCTTTCATGCCACGACACCATGTCATGTACTGACCACCTCTCCGCTTCTTCCAACCAGTCCCAGAGTCGGCAAACAATGCACGACGTGGAATTCTCTGAGACGACATTCGTAGAACATGTCCAAGCCACCGAAGTCGGTGTTTCAAGATGGTGACATCGATTGTATTATCATCTCTGTGCTCGAACACACGATGCCGAACCTCCGCATTACTAACACGGTGTTGCCACTGGATGTCAGCAATCCTTCGGAGACGGCGATAATCGAACACAGAGAGTTGTCTAACGTCCTCAACTCGGAGAGGCCAGGTTTCACAAGCATAGAGCAAAAATGCTCTCACCGACGCGTTGTAGATCCGACCTTTTACGGCCAGACTAACATCACGAAGGCGCCATAGATGGCCCAGATTGGCATAAGCCGCTCTGGCTTTCACTATTCGTGCATTGATCTCATCACTCACATCTCCACCAGCACTTATACAGCTACCCAGATACACGAACTTGTCGACTACGTCTATCTGCTCACCATCCAGGGATAGTACAGGATTGGAATCCTGCCAGTCTTGTAGAAGTACTTTGCACTTCGAAGGTGCAAAGCACATACCATACCTACGGACACTGATTGCCAACTGATTAAGTGCGGATTGCATGACTTGGGCATTATCGCACAGTAAGACAATATCGTCCGCATACTCAAGGTCGAGAAGTCTTTCTCCAGGCAACAGATCCACACCACCATTACTTACATCGATCAGAGCTGTTTCCAGAATGTCATCGATGGCAAAGTTGAAGAGGAATGGTGAGATTGGGCAACCCTGTCTAACCTCACTGCTCGAATGGAACAATGAAGAGAGGTGGTTGTATGCCCTCACTCTGCCTGAGGTGTTTGTATATAGGGCTTTCAGGATGTTAATAAACTTCTCAGGGACACTCTTCTTCAGTAGAGAATCCCAGTGAACAGTCCTGTCCAACGAATCGAAGGCAGCCCTGATGTCAAGAAACACTACGATTGTTGGCCTTTGATAAGTATGGCGGTGTTCTAACATTTGGCGGAGGGTGAAGATATGATCAATACATCCTCAACCAAAACGAAACCCAGCCTGCTCCTCTCGAGTCAATCTTTCTCGGGTTTTGAACAACCTACGAAGTATGACGGAAGCCAATAGCTTGGACGCAATCGGAACTAGACTTATCCCCTGATAGTTGTTACAGGAACGACGTGAACCGCTTTTAAAGATAGGGACAACTATCGACTCATTCCATGACGTTGGTGCACTCTTTAGTTCCCAAACCTTTGTAAACAACGTCGTCAATTCCTTAGTCAGAAAGTCACCACCATCTTTAAAAAGAGCCGGAGGTAAGTCATCTGGGCCAGGTGACTTGTAGCGCTTCAAGAGTTGGAGTTCCTTGCGGACTTCCGCCTCATTTGGTGGATCAGTCGTCACCGGCCATGGAGGACAGGACAGTCTGACCGATGTTGCCGGAGCAGCAGGCCAGTTGAACTGCCCTTCGAAGAATTCTGCTTATAAGCGGGACGTTTCGCGAAGTCGCAAGCGGCTTTACTCGCCATTTCCATGGCGTCACGGAATTGCAACCAATCCTCATCTATACTTTTCGGTGGAATGGTAGCTAACCTAGAAACTAGCTCGGTTCGATACTTACTAGCAACAGAAGTTGCAACCAGCTTGCTGACATCAATCCTTTGGTGGCAGTCACTTCGTTGTCCACTGAAAAGTAAGGTAAGATTGGCGCAGACCAAGGCATGGTCAGAGTCCAGATAGGTACTCCAAAAGGAGCGGCAGTCTTGTACACAACCATGCCAGCGGTAGCTGATCGCAATGTGATCAATCTGAGTCCAGGCTTGGGATGCAGAGGGAGGACGCCAGGTGGCACATCGGCGATGACTGTGCTGAAAGTTAGTGCTAGCCAGAAACAGGTTGTGGTCTGTGCAAAGTTGCAGTAGACGGTCCCCGTTATCTGTTCTGCGACCAACAATTCTCCATCGGCCACCTAGACGACTCTCTCCTGTGCCTAGACGCCCGACCTGAGCATTCAAGTCTCCGGCTAGTAGTACAATATCTGTCGAACGCACTTTCTGGAGAAGAACAGATAATTGGTGGTAAAACTCATCCTTGATTGCATCCGGGCTGCAATCTGTCGGGGCATAGGTGGAGATGATGAAAAGACATCGTTTCTCACGCCGATTTCTCCTCACTTTGATGGAAATTTCTAATCTAACAGCACATAACCGACTGTTAATGGGGATCCAATCGATTAGTGCTGTCTCAGCTCTGGCGCTTAGTGCGACACCAACGCCAGCAAGACCAGATGATGCCACAGGGTCCCCGGATAAGCGCACGTAAAACAAGCTTTTCGAGGCGACAGATGGAGATCGAATTTGTAGTACTTCGCCAGAGTCTTGAATACGGGTCTCGGATAGACAACAAACATCAATATTAAGACTTTCCAAAGACATAGCCAACCCTATCTGTTGTCCAACCTGCATAAGTGTGCGAACGTTGAAGGCAGCCAGTTTGAATGGTGCTCGTGGTTTCAGAAAAACTGCTTCAGTACTTATATTCAGTGGTAGCATACAATTTTCAACCGGACAGTGACTCGAGAACGTTTAGATAGAGTCGAATTTCCACCAAAGACGAGCCGCTGTATAAGTATAAAAGGGGGTGAATAATGTGGTAAATAATAATAATAGTAATAACAATCATTTGAATCATTTGATTGTTATTCGAAGCGACAAAAGTAGTTTCCATAGATATAGGGAGTTCATCATTTGCGTGTGGACTGTGATACTGCCCGGGTGCCCAAACCGAAGCAGGTGGTTATCTTAGGGGGCCACACCCCGAGCCTTTGACCTAAAGGTCTAACCCACAAGGCTTAGTTTGCCAGTTTGAAATCTGAACCACCTTTCTCATTTTCAAGCTCGATAGTGTTTATCAAATTGTAGTATATTCTCTCGACAGGTGACCCATTAATTCTATTGAGATGTATAGAGTTTATTGATAAATGTTTATGTATAACTCCAACACTTAATGTTTTCAGGAATTGATCGACCAAAGAATTATCCGCTCTTCAAGGATAGTAAATGGTAAGCATTAATCTGATGATTTCTTTGATTTGTTCTCTATGTTTTCATTAGCTGAATTGAATACCATTGATTTCGTTCTACCCGATGGTTCAGTGACATTTCGTACATCGGCGGAAGAGAAAAACCGCGTTATTGTCCAATTAGTATGTCGTTCATCATGTTTGTTATATAATATCGTTTATAATCATTTTCAGGGAACCCCAGAGCCTGGGACAGCATTACAAGCCGCCAAAATGCTGTAAGTTTTCTCTGTTCCACTTAATCTGAGCCAAACAGGGAAAATGATGTTATGGGTATTGATGTGAATATGGGTTGTCCTAAAGCATATTCTATGAAGGTTAGTATATATATGACTATCATTGATTTTATTGTGATATCACTTGTTCATACATTATTATGAGACTATTACTTAGCAGATTGTTTTTGTTTATCAGTTAAAAGGACACCAGAAAGGAGACATGAAACAGTGAATCGAGTTACTGTTGTGTGGGACAGTCTTAATAGCCGAGTGTTTTGACCATCAAGCCATCACTCTATATGTAACATAGAAATAGGAAAAATGAGGTAAATTCAAATGAGCTGTAAAAGAAAATTTCATGGACAAAACAATAAGTACACACAAAAGTAACTAGATATCTAAAATTCAGAGCAAAGTGGGATACATTTTATTTCCACTATTGAAGTTGATATTAAGAAGTGCTATTTGACCTGTTTCATCACAAAATTCGTCCAAGAAATTCACAGTCAATAACTGCCTAAAACTCAGCAGTATTTTGGACTGCTACCATATTGTGGTCGGGATATCCTTAATCCTCTACATTAGTCAACAAAACACTTTAGAGTGAAATAGTTTAATATTCATATAGAACGTATCAAGAACTGTAGTGTTTCTGTTTGAGTTTCCTAGTATTTTGTATTGTAATGATTTGTAAGCCTTTTGAGATAACGCGTAAGTACCCACGGCCAACAACGTTAATTATTCAGTCCAAAGAAATTAAAAAACGAAGGATTATTACATTACGTACACAGCTGGAAAATAGTTTTCTCAAACGTTTTAGCAGACTTCCTACATTAAGTTATCTTAGATTTTGATACAAACCACTTCTATATGTAGTAAATATCCATGAAATTTTGTCAACATGTTGATTAACACAGTTACGCTTGATATTAGCCTTATAATTTGTACAACCCAGTTTGTCTTTTAACTTTTCTTGTTTGCTTCAAGGGTGGGATGGGAGCAGCCTTACTGACAAAACCAGAAATTGTCAAAGACGTAAGTTGTTTATCTTTATGACGATAATGATGTCAGAAGTTTATCTGTACTCAAAAAGTCTATATCTTATAACGATTGTATAGTATCTCATATATTAATTTACGAAAACAGCAATGAAAACGAACCAATTTATAAACATATCACTTACAAGTGTTGGGATTATCCGGTTGTTGATGTTATGTGCTGCAACTGATCGACATCTTCCGGCATATAGGTATTTTGAGCAGATTACTCAGATAGTACCATTAACTCGAAAATATTTTCATCCAAAGTGTTTCAACGTAGTCTAGCCCTATTCGGGACTCATCAGCTGGGCGTACTTGCTCAATAATGTTGATGTTCGCTCTGAGACTTGAACGTAGTTACTGCCATTCGAAACTTTCGAAGCATTATTCACTTAGACCCTGGCATGTGTAAAGGGAATAAAATTCAATTTCACTTGTAAGGAAGTGGAATTAAAGTAAACAACGCGTTGGGGTTTAAACAGAAAGCCACTGGGGCCAGGTCTCGGTGTTAATATCAACATTGGGGTTGCAGGGACGTCCAGCTGATGAGTCTAAAATAGGACGAAAATCAACTTAATACCACTGCTAGCTACATCGGAACACATCAATATAGTGATATTTTAGATTATCATAAATTTTGGTAAAAAGTGGACTAGTATTATGCAGTTAGTTCCCTTTATGAATTTAAATAAAGCCAGAACAAATATTGGTGCAGAATAATATGAATTCATTATATTTCGAGGTTTCTCGTCAGCTGCTTACAACCAAATATGTATTAGAATTTAACATTGAGGTAAGAAATACTAGAAAACAATCGACATAATTGAATGTAAAGAATTGGAATGACCAAGGTTAACAATAATAACCATATATATAATAGGAATGCAAGAACAGGTCAGAAGTTATTTACTGTTAGAATCAAGGAAACATTAAGGATGGGTAATGAAGGATCCATGGATTTAAAAAACTGATAAGATGGGTTACGTAATAACTGAATAGAATTTGAAGAGTTCACATAATTTAAGAGGATCAAGTGAGCGGAAATGTGTGAATGAAAGGATGGTTTAAGAATTCAGTAATGGAAGAGAAATATAACACAAACTAAATATCCTAAAAAAATAAGTAAATAAAATAACACTAATAACCAAAAACAAAAAAAACAACTAAAAAAATTGGATTACCAAGGTAGTAATAAGTTTATCACTGTCTCTTTTTGAATACATAAATCCGGTTTAAGTTTTGTTATCGCGATCTCTTCAGCAAAACGTAGAGCAGCGTACTTCTTTGTCTGCTAATAATTTTAAAAACATGAGGAATGTCAGTGGTATGCCCGGTGTCATGTAAATACCGAGCTATTGCACTGTTGAGAGCCCTAGTCCCTCGCAACCTCAATTTCTTTGGAACATGCTCAGAAATGCGAACATGTACTCTTCTCTCAGTTCTTCCAATGAATTCATATTATTCTGCACCAATATTTTTTTTCTGGCTTTATTTGAACTAATATTAGTTGCTTCTAATAATTTTCGCAGTAATTTATCTTGTCAGCTGAAAATCAATTTCAGTATAGTTAAGATGTTTCACTTTTTAACGTACTTAAATTACGTTTAGAATGTATACTGATTAATTGCCATAATTTTATACAAGGCTGAAGTGTTGTTTTTCTATTGGTCTTTCATTTTTACTATTGATTTAACAACAACATCGAATTCTACTACGCTAACACATTGAATATAACTGTCTAATATTTGAATCAATTATTCATGATTTCAAGTCTTACCATAAACATCTATGCTCTAGTGCAAGCGCGTATTTGTCTGCGTCTTGATGGACGTAAGAATGACGCTGCAAGGAAACCTCTTAGGGTCCTACTTAATGATCACCAAGCTAAGAATTTATTTCAGGAACAACTAGAAAAACAGTTAGGCAGCCATGTAAGTGATGCCCACCATAAGACAGCGTGGAATGACATCCGAAATGCTTTGGAAACTGCAGTGATATATGCTAGTACAGTAAACCATAAGGTTAGGGAGAAACACTGAATCTCAGTAGCATCAACCGCACTGATGGATGCCTGGAAACTCCTTCCATCTGGCTCTGAACATAACGAAGAGCGGAGTCAGTTTAAGCGCAAGTTGACAAGAAGCCTACGCAATGATCGTGGACAGTGGTGGGTAGCGGAAGCAAGAGAGATGGAAAAGATAGCGGCAGTAGGTAACAGCAGACAACTGTTCAGACTCGTTAAAGAAACCGGAATTAGGAACCCCAGCTGTTGGGAAAGTATCTCAAAAAAGATGTAGGTATTATTCATTCTCAGTCGAAGGGATTTGGTCGATGGGCAGAACACTTTAGGGATCAGTTCATCTGGCCTTCAGCCGCACTTCGGTTTCTCACGATCTCCAGTCGACCTGAATGGCAAGTTAATTTAGGTGCTCCGACTCTTTATGAAGTTGAAAAAGCTATAGGAAATCTGAAACGAGGGAGAGCAGCAGGCCCTGACAGGTTTACTCCTGAGATTTTTAAGGATGGTGGTCCAGTATTAGCAGTGAGATTAACTGAGGTCTTAGGTAGAATTTGGGAACTGGACGTAATCCCATTTGACTGGTCTAAATCACTGATTGTTCCAGTCAGTTTGACAAATATGGTATCTAAAATACTAGCTTCAATAATACTTCGACGCTTAAAGAAATCTCGTGAAGAGCAGACTAGAGAAAACCAGGCTGGTTTTCGACCTGGACGTGGTTGTATAGATCAGATATTCACACTACGTCAGGTCCTAGATCATAGACACACATTCAGACGCCCCACAATCGTAGTATTTCTCGACCTTAAGGCGGCATTTGACTCGGTTGATCTTGAGATTATGTGGTAGTGTTTGTCACTGAAAGGAGTACCAAAGAAGTACATTAACCTTATAAAGGCTCTCTACTCGAACACAACTGGTCGAGTGAGAGCTTATGGCGAACTGTCATCAGAATTGATTACCTCGTGATGTTCGTCAGGGCTGCCCACTCTCTCCATTCTTGTTTAAGTTTATCGTAGACATGCTTTTAGAGATAACACTTTCCTGATCCAAATTTTCAAGGGTTGAACTTCTACCAGGAGATTCACTTGTTGACATAGAATATGCCGATGACATAGTTGTATTTGGTGAAGACACTGACAAAATGCAGTCTTCTGATCACTCTAAGCAACAATGTGGTCATGTTTGGGATGCGATTCTCCCCCTCGAAATGTAAAATGTTGCTTCATGATTGGGTTGCATCGACACCCGAACCAATGATAGGGAGTGAAGTAGTTGGGCGTGTCTACCGCTTTACTTATCTTGGGATTCTGACCAGCCATTATGGTCTAGTGTGTGACGAAATCTCAGCACGGATATAGAAGGCTCGCTTGGCTTTTGCCAACTTGCGTCATTTATGGAGTAAGCTAGATATCCGTCTACCAACCAAAGGACGTGTATACTGCGCATCAGTTCGTTCCGTTATATTTTACGACAGTGAAACATGGCCGTTAAGAGTAGAGGATATTCGTAGGTTACTAGTATTCGACCATACGTGTCTTCGAAACATTGCTCGTACATCCTGCGACCATCGAGTAAGTAATGCAGTTGTTAGGGAACGGGTACTAGGTAAGGATGGCAAACCGATTAATGAAGTAGTGAAACTTCATCAGTTGAGATGTCTTGGACACGTGTTACGTATGCCCTACCACCGACTGCCCCGATGAGCGATGTTTTGTTGTGTAGGAGTAGGAGTAGGTTGGAAGAAAGCTAGGAGTGGCCAGACCAAAACATGGCACAAGTCCATGAAGTCACTGATAAGTGGACTGAGTCATGTTGATAGGTGTAGACTATCTGGTTGTTATCGGTGAGATGATAGCAACGGATGGTTAGAGACGTTGAGTGACATGGCTGAAAATCGTTTGCAATAGTGGAGGTGCATCCACTCTTTGTGTTGTCCCAAATTTTAATCTCCTGATTCCTCCTTGTCTCTTTTTCCTCTTTCGAAATTTATTTCACTGGATTATACTCCTTGAATAATATCTTCAAACCCTAATGTTTCTGATTACTGCTTAGACTCTTACTACATCTAGCACTATGGGATTTGAATCGACAACTGCATCTCTGTGCTAATGTGGTATGGCAACTCGAACTGATGTCCGCCCGTGCGAAGTCCTACGTTGTTACTGACTGATGTTGGGATACAGATATATTCAGCTGATAAGTCCCAAATTAAATTAAATGCGCCTCCTGGATTTCACTGTTAGATATGATTACAAAATTGAAGAATTACAACACCCAATTCTACTGGTACATGATGACTACTGTTCGTAAATCGATGTTTATATTTCAAACTGCCAATATCCTCATTATAGTTTATATATAAGTAGTATTTATATGGATTTTCATCAAGTTTGAAATGAGTTTAGTTTTACGTAAAATAAGTACCATGTAAGCAGAAGACCGAAAACGTAATTTGACATATATTTTAAATGAACTCATTGAAAAACGTCTCCACTGAATTATTTTGTGACTTGATGGTGGGCATAGTCAAGTAAATCTTCAATACATTTGATGATTCTACTTATTTTCCTGAAGAAGTCCAGATGAGACTTTTGAATGAAATGTGTTAAAATTTATTTAATTTCCATCGGTGAGATATTTTACAAATAGAATTTTATATCTAATATAAGTAGTATTTCATGTACCTGAATATTTATCATTCACAGTATTTGTAGGTAATTATATTCGTCACAGATTGATCTTATGTTGCATACCACTGAAAATCAGGGAGGATTGAAGGGTTGTTTTATTCTAGTGTTATGACGTTTTAGCAGTGCGTACCAACGAACCTACCAGGAACTAAAGTTGGAATTGTGCGATTGGACGACGGTTTAGAGATTCTTGATTCGATCCCTGGAAGGATTGTGAGTGCTCATTTTTAAGGATAAAACAGTTGCCCAATTCTTCCTGCTCTTCATTCGTATCCCAAACTTAAGAAATCCGTGACGAATACTATATGCAAGTCAAAGTAATCTCTTTAGAGTCCCTTGAGCTAAACACTCCTCATTATTTTTTGTTTGTAGATTCTTACTACTTTGACTACAAATCTCCGAATTCCAGTTACTTGTAAAATGAGGATTTTACCTGAAGTATGTGATCATGATATGTTATCATGCTATGCTTTAATTGAGTAATTAAAATAGTTTGAATTAAATTACAAATGGTAAATATGGTAGGCAATTAGGTCGATATGAATTCATTTGTTGCAAGGATGCATGTCAGCTATATATATATATATATATATATATATATATATATATATATATATATATATATATATATATATATATATACATAATCCAGGACGACCCCTTGGATAATGAAAATATAGAAGACGGTATTGTCTAGATGAATAATTCAGTTATTTATTATAAATCACACTTGGATATAAATAATTGTATAAATTTGGTATTTTATATAATTTGCCAAGTCCCTATCTCGCATACTTTGTATGATGATTTCTTCTCACGGGTTACTCCAAGAACATGTAATTTCCTAGTTTAAATGCTGCAGATGTATCATAATAAAAAAATTCATTCTGTACTCAATCTTTTTTGACTTTGTTGTGTTTGATATTCACTGTCAGAACTTGAACCGTCGGTATAATAACATGAATCTATAGCTTAGTGATTGAGGTGATCAACTTTCAACTAATATGTTGTATGATTGAATCCCGTTCTATCTGTTTCTGTCTGACCGATCGAGTGATATGACTGGCCTTCCTTTTTGGATTGATCTAAAGTTTCTAATCTTCTTCACTTTCATGGGGATCTTTGTAAGAAATTCTGACAGGTTCGTGGTTTTAATGCGATGTAACATCTTCCAAAATCTCATACTGACAATATTATTTTTTTTTCTATGTTCTTCATACTATTTTTTGAAGATTCTCATATTTCATCAGTACGTCATATCCACTTTTGATTTTCTACTTCTGCCGTTTACATTACGTCTCCTTGTCTCTTAAGTACTCCCCCAATGGTACACTGTAAAACTGAGTGTCAGAAGTTACAAACATACACCTAGTTGATTCCACATATTCGAGGCTACGCTTATGGTGACGATTGAATTGAATTTCAATTTTCTTGTTCCTTCCGTTTCTTGATAGCTTAGGTTTTATTGCGTTGAGAGCCATTTCAAGCTTCTGGTTAATCATGATTTCTGATGTAGACTATTGGTTTAGTCAGTCAGTCAGTCAGTAACAACGTAGAACTTCGTACGTACGTACATCAATTCGAGTTGCTACACCACTATTAATTCAGTGGTAATCGATTTAGTGTTGTCCGGTAGAATAACAGGAAATTATCGAGACTTTCAATTATCGTTCTTTCGCTTAAATCTATCCATTAGTATTTCAACTTAACCATTTGACTGAAATTGGCGGTATATTTAGCTGGGTGTATCCGTCTTCGATTACTGAATTAAAATAATTAAGTTATTTATTAAAACAAATGGAAAATTCAAACATCCAGTGAATATGAAATAGTATAAATTACATTTTTTCTTTAAATTTATTATAGTTAGAAAAAACAATTGCTTTGGCTAAGCTAATTGAATCGACAGGTGTTGCAGCGATCACAGTACACGGTAGAACAATCAATGAACGTTCAATGCATCGGAATCGTAATGAAGTTATTCAAGCAATAGCTGATTCAGTAGGTATACCTGTTTTGGCAAAGTAAGCAGATAGATGACAGTGTGAATAAATTTTGAGTTATATATATTTGTGTTTGTATCATAATTATAGCTTGTTAGTATTCAATTCTTGGAGTATGAGGTCAAATACAGTTTTAAAAAGTTGTCAAATGGCCTTTTCTTCATGAAAATTGGGGTACGTAGTAGAATTTCTACTAATGAAATGTTATCAGTTCACCATTCAGTATCTTTGCGTTGGTCAATGAATCAGGCATAATCAACAAAGTAGAATTCGGCATGCTGATGTGTCAGTTCCAATGGCCACACTTCACATCTGAACTGCGAGACAGAAAATTAGTAATTGATGGAGTGAAAAGGAAGTGGGAATCTAAATTTGAGAAACACAGTTCAGAATTGTCAAGTTAGTTTGGCGAGTGGAGTGTTAGAAATAACACAATTGTAATCCTACGGTAACTGATGGTGAGGACTAGGCAAATATAATACTGGTTATTACTCAATAATTAACCAATTGAAAATATTTCAGTCCTTCAGGCGGTCTGTTGCGATCCAAATAGCTCAGTGGTAATGCTTCAGGCTGCGAAGTTGAGTGATTTAGGTCTGAATACCACAGAGGACATCAATTCCCCCACGAATTCAACCACCTCTTGTTGACGAGTGCTAAATAACACGAAATCTAGGTTCTTATACAGGGTTTCCTACTGACTACCTCCAACCATCTAACATATCAATAATCAGTTGTAAGTAGTTTGATTGTGTGGAACTCGCAGTATTTTTCCATTAAAACCCTGCACATCATATGGCCATTATTTACACCTCTGTCATAGACACTATTCTCTTATTAGTTTAAATATAATGGAGACTTTTAAACGATTATATATGTACACATATTACCGATCCGATTGATCAAATTTTAGTAAAACTGATTGGTATATATTGTAGTCAGGACTAGGGATTTCCCTATTGAGACAGTATTATGGCATACGTAATAAACGCCCTGACTATCTCTATCAATTGGAACATACTACCTCATCAACCGATTTGCAATCTTTTTGTATTACTGTATACCTAAACTCAACATTACTCATTTGATTTTTCCATGAAACACGAGTAATGATTCAGGGATACCTATAATGAAGAACGTATAGCCTGCACATGTATTCTATCTCCATGCATTATGTTTCTTCGTAGCAATACAGTGCTAATTTAGTAGAATAGGTATAAATCTTTGTCGTAACGATTAACTGACTAATAATCTGTTGTGCTACTCTTTGGGGATAATTAGCTATTTACATAGTTATTATGTGTTAACATTGCTTTTTCTGCTTGTTTGAATAAAATTATCCTCTATAGTGTATTTTTCTTTTATTTCTGTTTTGTTTATCTTCATTTAAGTGGTGGTTCTCGTGATATAATTAGAAATCATGAAGATATTGAATATTTTCGACAATTGACTAGTGCAACCGGTGTTGTTATAGCCAGAGCTGCTATGTGGAATCCTGCCATATTCAAATCACTTCAAGCTGATGAACCGTTACCTAAACTTGAGGAAATTATTTGTAGATATTTAACTCTGGTAAACAATGTTTCTTTTTTGTATATGGTTTTTTGTTGTGTATTACTTAACAGTACTGATCAGGCTTATTTTCATGTTGTGTTAACCTGGCATATACATATATCTTTCATGACGTTTTTTTGTTTGGTGCAATATGTTGAGACTATCCTTCTCGTCACTAGTATACCGATGCAGTTGTTCAGCCAACCATTCATCCGATGTTGAGCGCACGATATTGGCCAATATATGATTTCTATTACTAGGGGATATTATGCATGCGATTCGTGGGAAGTGTGGCTCAAATTTCCACAGGACGAATATATATGACTGAGTACATGGTTATTCCTCGATTTAGTTAATCAATGGAAGCCTCCTTTTCACTTTTGGTCTCTTCCCTCGTGTAACTAGTTGGACTCATGTATAGGAAGCTCGTGTATCAATATCAGAATCAAACAATACACAAAAGAACATACACTTTAAATCACTATTTATTAATACACCTCCCACTATTAATTAAAGTTGGCTAACAGCCATTACCGAAAGACCATTGAACCAGCATTTGCTAAAATGTGTTTGTTACAATGTTCTCTCGTAAAATCCCATCACCTCTCTCAGTACTTTGATTTATATTACGTCCGTTTCCTAATGGTTGTTTCAAATGTCCATTTTCATCTTTTCTCAAGTGTTCAGCTCTGTTATCACCAACTGAATTGTTTACTTTTGGTTTTGTCCATCTACTAAGCATCTTGGAATAAATTCAATTTATCCATCTTTTAGTACAAATTTATATTTTCAGATTTAGAATACTATTGTAGTGAACGAGAACACCAGTGGGGACAAACAAATTTATTTAACACAAAATTACAGGAGTTATTAATAAAATCTAACAATCATAAAGTAAATAGTTAATTTGCAAAATGTCCATCGATTGTCTCAAAATGACTCAGACTTCATTGTCCTTGCATTTTCATACAAATTTCATTTTGTTTCCATTCTTTACTGTTCGATCCTCTTGTCTCTCTGCTTCCAGACCTTCTGTTTACGACTAACATCATATACTACTTATGTCAATATAAATAGCACACACCACACTATAACCAATAACCCATCAGCTTTCATTCCTAATGGGCATCCATCATAATTGATGATTTGCTTAAACTACTGACGGCAAAATATTTGTAAATGTAAACTTACTAACTTCAATATTCCCGTCGTAGAATTGTTTTAATTGATCAATTTCATTTGTAAACCGCATGTACTCACGTGGATTCATAAGATGCTCACAATCTGTAGCAAATTGAGATACTGCGAAATTCACTAACAATTACCACAGTTATTCTTATGATTTTCTCTTTATGTTTTCGATCGAGAAATCAGATACAATTACTTTAGAATTCATCGATTAGGTATTTTATACAATGAAAAAGAAAAACAATTCCATAGACACAAGACTAATTGTAAACAATCATGGATAAATATAAATGACAGTTAATTAGTTTTTCAAATAAATTAAGACAATTGTTAATATCAGCATGGGGATTTGTCGAGATTGTTGCATTTTCACAGTTGAACTCACGAGTAGATGCTGGCTCAGTGGTCTAATGGTTAAGCATCCGCTTACGAGACCGATAATCCTGGATTCGAACCCCGCATGTGAGATCGTTGGTGCGCACTACTGGGGAGCTCTATACTAGGACGAAACGGCCGTCCAGTGCTTCTAGGTTTTCACTGGTGGTCTAGCTTAGATTGCTTCACGAATTCAACTGTGAAAATCTTTAATAATAAAAATAATGATGTACTTGTAATAACCTATTGAATAGAAGAATAAATTTTCTGACATTTTGTGACTCAGTGTAAGACACTTCTTCAGAGAACAAATCACAGTTTTTAAAAAAAAGTAAACCTTTCTATGCATAGTTTTTAAATATTCACGAGTTGAATGTTTGCAGAAACGGTAATTTTGTTGTTATTCTACATAGTTAGTTTTAAGAATACTTTACTGTAAGCTAGACATTATGTAATAAAACTTATATATTTGTAAGCCATCATGTTTTAAATAGAACTGAAAATATGTTACAGATTGGTTTTTTCTTCTACCAACCGTTTAAGCCATAAATACTTTCAGATATCATGCTGCATTCCTTTTAAATTAATTGTTTCGTGATTGCTTGTAGCTTAGTGCTTTACATTTTTAATTAAAGCTCTTTGAGACTCTAACGTCACCTCTTTTTGTATTGTCTCAATATATATATATGTATAATATCTCTTTACAAAGTTAACCAACATTAAATTTATCTTCTATGCTGTTTGTATATTATTGTATTTTTAGTCTGTTCGTTATGATCATCATATAGCTGGTGCAAAGTATTGTGTTTTACGGATGTTACATGATTTCGGTGGTACGCCGATATATGAAGATGTATTAGCTTCGAATGAACTACGTGATCTATGGTATTTGTAATTTGATTTCAGTTCAGATTTATTAATTAACATAAGATTTTGTTTGTCTATCTACATATATGTTTATTACAACTCATAATTGGATAGATTTCTTAAAGTTGTACTTAGTATACACAACAGTACGTACTGATGGCTTCAAACTGAGGGCTCAAATTCAAAACCTTCAAGTTTCTTACAGGGTGCGTCACGTTTTTAAACCAAGAAATCGTAATTCGATGGTTGACATTTCTAGCATCAATCACTTTTCAGTAAAGCACGACACATTAATTAAACCAATCTTTATAAACTTGTCAGGCACATATTTGGAAATTGACTGTAGAATTTTAATTTATTGTATTTGAACATGTCTAATTAACGCCTCTTTCAATCTATGATTGTAATCAAACTAGTTAACAGAGTGAAAAAAATCCCATAGTAATCAATCAAGTCAAATATTAACACTTATCCATAAACTCATTAACTTGACTTTTTCATTATCTACGTGTAAAATGTTAACTTCCAAGTTGTGGGATGCATTTACCACTCAGTAAGTAAATATATACAGATCTCTATGTAACCATGAAGCCACATTTTTGTGTTTATGTGCATGTGTGAAGCTTAGTGATGCTTAATCTATCTACTTATACCACTAATCTGATAAGTAGTATGTTCTCAGATCATTAATATTTGTTACTCAGATTCTCAATTTCTGTGTAAAGACCTCCAGTTCAAGTAACAGACGGTCTGATGAGTTCTGTTTGCGCATGTAATTGTATACCGGTTTCATCTGTAACTCATGTGTGATTAAACGAATGAAATAATTAACCTTATTGTCTAACAATATACTGACTTTATCAAGTGAATAACTAAACTATTTTTACCATCAAAATTGGATAATTCAGTTTATTTATTTATAGTTAGCTGATTGTTATTTCTACTTGGTGAATGATGTAATAATAATCATAATGATTTCGAAGATAGCTTACTGTAAGTAAATAGTTTCATATAAAAATATTACCTTAAAATCAACGGTTCGATCAAAGAATACTTATTGAAAAATGGACGAACTAATTTATTTAATCAGAAATGGATGGTGGCTAGCAATGGAACCCATGACATGCGTTTCGTTCTATTTGGGACTCGTCAGCTGGGTGTACCTGCGTCCCAGAGTTGACGTGTGATTCAAACAACCAATACAAAACATGAATTAATTCTTTGAAGTTTTATAGTTCTCCTTTTTTTCATTTACCCCTAACAATTTCTTTATTTTAGGGATAAACTATAATTTTTATCCTATTAAAAATCTGTGTAGTAGTTAAAAAGGTTTACTCAAAGGAATTTCTACAAATCTTGCAAATTTACAAATAATTAATGTTATGTTGATTGTGGCGTAGAGCAGTTTTGAATAGCAAACGATTGGGGGATTCTTCTAGTACGAAATTAGATCTATTGAAACTAAGTATGAATGGTGCACTACAATACTTCACCCTTAGTAGTCTTCCATACAATCATAGCAACAGACATGACTTTGAAATGTAGAATTATCTAAATAAGAGCTAGAACAACTTATCAGACCACGACAAAGATTAGCGGAGGTGTTTAAATAGGAAGAAAAAAGCCACGGCTTTCCTGACACTTCAGAACAATCATTTATATGAACAGAAGTTTTAAAAAAACTAGATAATTCGAAGTATTCCTAGCAACTTATTCATCAATCGTTCATCTAGTACATTTCTATTCCTAACATTATTAATCTACTAGGTTTCAGTATCAATCTCAAATTAATTTACTTATTGTAACTAATGGTTAGAGACTTTAAATGATTTGCCTGAAAATCGTTTGTAGTAGCGCAGGCTCATCTATTCTTTGTCTCCTCTAAAATTCTGAGATTTTGGATTCCTTATAACGTTTTTCGTATTTTTATTTCGTTAAATTATATTTTCTTTTCGACTAGTATCTTTGATGCCTAATCTTTTCTATTACCACTAATACTGTGAATACCTCCACCATTCTTGGTTTTAACTTGACAATTTTATTTCCCTGTACTAATAGAATATGGCAACTTGAACCGATATACATACAAATCACGTTCTACGTTGCAACAGACTAACTGAATTTGCTTACTTCCTTATTTATTTATTTCGAAAATTGTTGTACATACTTTATTCCGTTTATTCCCTTTCTTAATAAATCAAATACTTATTATTACTATTGTGTTCATCTAGTGCCATATGGAATATGTTAGATGTTTACGATCATGAAATGTCTAATCGACTAGAACGTTTAAAGAATCATCAACTTACATTAATCAATTCAACAGTTAATTGTAATCAAGAAATAATTTCATCTCCTTCACTATCAGTTTCTTCTGACTCTCTCTCAGTTCCAGAGAAACGACCTCGTGTAGAAGAACATTTATCAAATACTACAACAGTATTAGTGAATGATAATAATGTGCCTGGGGTAAAAATAAATAATTTCGAAGAAATTGTACTCTCTATTCCATATGAACGTAGATTTTGGCCTGATCATGGAACTAGTCCAAAACAAATACTTCGTGAACACTGTAAATTATTAAAATGGGATTCACCTAAATACGAAACTGTAAGTCTTATTGTCTAGGATATACATTTTAAAATTTATTTATCTCTACAATCCGAATTTTTTCCAGAAATTTCATGTTTTTCTGAAGTCTTATACTCAAGCAATTTTTTGAACAAATTCAGTTTATCAGTAATTATGTAAACAGTTAGTCTGTAGCCGAAAAGCACTCAAGATGGTACACGTTCAACGTTTTCATCAACACTAGTGGTCAACATTCATTTTGATCTTGGATCATCCTTGCAGTCTTGACAGTTTTTCACCGAGTTTCACCAGGAACTTTAATTACTCAGTTTGTATACTTTTGGAGTAGAGCTTGTCAATGGTAACATTGAGACGTTTTGATATTATTTATAGTTTTAATTATATCTTATTTTAATACTCTTAAAATGAGCTTGTATACTAAGTATAATAGTGATTTTTCTCTTGTTTACTTTAGTCTCTTATATTTTTCATATCAAACACCTTACTGATTACTAAAGCTATCATTTACACGCAAAATATTAAATCAAGCTAATTCAAATCAGGATAATGATACACTAAAAGAAGACAAATCTTCCGGTATTCGCCTTTTGATTGGACACTAAGGAATAGAAAGAAGGAGCTTTGCAAAATATGAAGAGTTAGGATTCATGGTCATTTGTGTTATTGGTTAAAGAGAAGGTCGTTGTTCTGATTAACGTGAGCGAACTTACAATTAGCAGGTTCTATTATCAAGTGAGCCGGTTAAGCGTGCAATAAAGAAGTCTGAATTCATAACGACTTAAACAATGAGTTTGTAGGTATCACTGGATTTGATGGTTTCAAATAAAATGAGTATTGGGTAGAAAGTTAATAATAAGATTTATTTTCTTTAAAGAATTAGTTTACATTAAGTCACGAAACGTTAAAAATCCCATTTTTGTACTCATTGGGATATAGCAAGAAATATATTTATTACTGACGTGTTAAATAGCAAGGAATTATTAGCACAGATTAGAATAACAGTTTAAAAATCAACGGATGACCACGAACTTCTTCCCTTCATGTCACAATCATACAAATTACCTTCAAACAAATTCAAATTTGTACACTTTAATAGTGTTGATGGTTAGTTTGTGCTACTGATTCTTACCTTACCATTAGTAACCAGAAATGTTCTTAGTTACTCTTTTAGTAATAAAACCTTGTTTTCACCCATTCAAACTCATTCCGTAGTATACTGAACAATGCTGACTAGTGTTGGAGACGGTTGGAAGAAAGTTAGAGGTGGCCAAGCCAAAACGTAACATCAGTCCGTAAAGTCACTAACTTCTTATCTGAGCCATGTAGATGCAGACTACTTGGTTGGGGTCTGTGTAACTATCGTAACCAATGGTTGGAAACTCTGTGTGATATGTGTCAGAATCGATCACAATGGCGTCGGTGTATACACTCCCTGCTTTCCCTTAAACTGTGAGATTAAAACTACTCTATACCTTTCTTTCTACGAACTAATTCTTCCTTCTTGTACTATATCTCTATATGCAATCTTTCTCTTATATATTACTACCTTTGACTTAACCACTGCTATGAATCCGGTGTTCATCTTGTTGTGCTGATGCGGTATGGCAACCTGGACCGATGCACATATGTGCCTGGTCCTACGTTGTATCTGATTGACTGACTGACATTACCACGATTATTAGTCATTTGAAAGATACGAGAAGTCATACCGTTTTTATAAAATTATTGTATGTTATAATAATCGCTAAAATTATCTGTTATTGTCATTTCAAATGTGTGTTTGTGTCTCTGTAAAATTTGTAGATTGAAGATCGTAACAAAAGATCATTTTTCAGTACTGTTTTAGTGAATGGTAAACGTTATCGAAATACCAGCGCGTAAGTAATGTGTAGTAATTAGTATGTATAATGTTGTTATCTATCCATATTTCTTGTGTAGATCTCTTTCGTTTAAATGACCGAATCAAGTTGCATAATCATATGACAGTTTATCTGTAAAATGGTAAACTACTACATTTTTGATCTTACAGTTTATGGGGTTTCGCGGTTTTTGTTAAAAATATTCAACTGGTTGTTGTAATATGTTGTGATAGTCTACTTGATTATTTGAAACAGAAGTCCTTTGAATGTTGATCTAATCCACTTCGATAGGTGTTGTAAAGTCTTTGGTTTGTATTTTTCTTAATGATCGTAACGTATATTTTAAAGCTTTCTGTTGTATAGTCTAAATTGTGTCACTGTGTCCCAGGTGTATTCATTCATTTTTTATCTTCATTTAAATCTCTATTTAAATGTCATTTATAACCCTTCATTCTTTGATCTCATTTGTTCTTTTAGAACTTAGAATCTTTAGATGTCTAGATTTCCTTTACACAGTTGAAAATGATTTGTCTCGTTTACTCCTCATCTTTCTGTACTTCTATAAGTTATGGCAACTTAGTCTAATGCATATTCATACCATGTTATATGCTCTTTATGATAATCAACTGATTAGTTGTTTAAATTAGCTAGTGACCTGTAACAATGTCTTTAAAAGTTTTAAATTTCATTTATTGATCTCTTTCCTTTCAATTCCGCAATTGCAAAAGTCACTATGTTGTATAACTTCTGTAAATAAATTCATAGTATAAGCGATGACGATAATATATCATTCATGCAAGGTGTCATTCTCAAAATTTACTAACTTCTGGTCAAAATCGAATGTGGATTGTTCCATTTTTCGATTGGACTCGGTAATTAAATACCTTTTTGTAATATAACTCAAAGCAGCAAAATTCAGAACACACATATCGAACTACTAGGGACTCGTCAGTTTAAATACCAACATCTTAATGATGATGTTCATAGTAAAGAGAAAGGTGTTGATTTTATTCCCAGTGTGTAAACATCAACATTAAAGCAGGCGTACATTCAACTAATGAGTTTCACTTAGTCCAAAACACACTTTCTAGATTCCACTGTTAACCGTATATTGTATAAACCGAAGCTTCTATGTTCAGTTTATTGTAATTGTTTATTTATTCTATCTTAATAAAATACTTTCTTTCTTTTAACAGATGTAAATCAAAAAGGTATGCTGAACAAGCAGCTGTTTTAGTTTGTCTACATGTGTTAGGCATACCCGATGGAAAAGTTCACGCTGATGAAAATAATAAGGTTAATCTTAATAATAAATAATTTCACATAATATTTTTTATGATTTGTAAACAAAACAAAAATGTAACCAAAAGAGAGGTTTTCTTCAATATTTTGATAAATTTGATTTTTGGATAGAACAATTGCTTTTTTATTGAGTTATGTATTTGTTAACTGATATAGAGATATAACATCAGCATCTCCAGCCATATCCAACAATTCTAGTTTAAGTTTTAAAACAAATCTGTAGTTCCTCAGATTTTTTTTCCAATACGTCCTGATAATGGTAACTAAACTAGGTTTGAAAGTTGTATTAAAGAATAATCGCTTTCACTTCCAACTTGTGTCATTTATAGCGTAGGCTAGATATCCGTCTACCGACCAAAGGACGAGTTTACTGCGCAGCAGTTCGTTCCGTCCTTCTTTATGGCAGTGAAACATGGCCGTTAAGAGTAGAGGATATTCGTAGGCTACTAGTATTAGATCATAGGTGTCTTGGAAAAATTGCTCGTATATCCTGGGACCACGGAGTATGTAATGCAGTTGTTAGAAATCGGGTACTGGGTAAGGATGGCAAACCGATTAATGAAGTAGTGCAACTTCATCAGTTGAGATGGCTTGGACACGTGTTACATATGCCGAACCACCGACTGTCCCGACGTGCTATGTTTTGTGGTGTAGGACTAGGAGTAGGTCGGGGAAAGCTAGGGGTGGTCAGACCAAAACGTGGCACAAATCCATGAAATCACTGATAAGTGGAGTGAGTCATGTTGGTAGGTGTAGACTGCGTGGTTGGGATCCGCGATATGATAGCAACGGATGGTTAGAGACGTTGAATGACATGGCTGAAAATCATTTGCAATAGTGGAGGTGCATCCACTCTTTGTGTTCTCCCAAATTCTAATCTGAATTTTTCATGTCCATCCATCGATCATCCAGTATTAAATACCAGTTAGTTTCTTTGCGCAGTTACATTCAAGCTTGCTCGATAGAATCCCGTTGATGCTAACACAATTAAACATTTCTAATGTTAGTTGATTGACGGTAATTTGCAAGAAACTGTGTGCGTGGGTTTTTCACTAGTTGACACTCGTCAACAAGGCGTACGTGCGATCTTCAGGGAATTGATGCTCCTCATGGGATTCGAACTTGTGCCACTTAGCTCCACAGTTTATGATGTTACCAACTAGCTGATGTCTTGTTACAATATACGTAATGTCGATTCACATAGACTAATGTCCTCATTACCACTTGTTTGATAGAATTCACTTACTGCTAAACGGCTAGATAAATATGATCTTGGTCACTACTTAATGACTGATCATTTATTTGTCAATTGACAGTCAATTAAAAGCTGATGAAACGTCTAGCCGTTGCCATAGTGAAAGGAACAAAAGTAAAATATTTTGTAAGAACTACATGGCTGTCAAATGATCCATTTATAACTTCATGTAGAGTTGATTGTGAATGATGTTAAATATTCAGTTGGTGGTAGGAGGTAATCGACAGGAAACCCTGAACTTTTGTGTTATTTCTCACTCGTCAGCAAGGTGTACCTGTGATGTTGAAGGAAATGATACTCCCTGTCGGATTCGACCACTTGTCACCCAGCTTCACAGTCAGAAGTAAGCACCTGATATACATGACATTGTTCACAACTCAGTGATCAATCCGACAGGTAGTATCATTTCCCTCAAGATTACAGGTACACCTTACTGATGAGTGCGAAATAATACAAAACCTAGGCCCAGGATTTCCTGTCGACTACCTCTAGACACCACCTTACATCTCAACGCAGTGCACATGATGTCGAATCACTTAGACTAATGATCACATTGTAACTTGATCGATAGAATTAGATTCAGATCAAGAAGAACTTGACATACATCTCATTGGTCACTACTCAGTGGTCAATCAGTTGTAAATAATTAGTAGTAGAAGAGTGAAAATATGCAACAAGTTATCAATTAGTCATAATCAACGTAGAACTTTGCATAAACATGGATTTTTTCAATTTTTCATACTATTACAACAAAATGAAAATAATAATATAAATAGCAAGAGGTTCAAATCATTTTGATAGCAGTAATAATCGAGAAGTATATGATTTATGAGAACAGAATGAGATATGTATCCAGAGAATACCGAAACCTAAAGTGTAGGGTAAGATAAAGAGTAAATACATCTGCCCCATTGTGACCGATTGCAAGCCAAATCACCCAACACTAACTTCTGTTATAGCGAAGTCAACTAAATAGTCTGTATCTACCAGGATGAATAAATTATTGATCAACGACTTGATGTGCTGGTGCCACGTTATATCAAAAGTTAGAAATAATGAAAAAAGTGAGAGTTTGGTTCTAGATGTATCATTACTTTCGTTAGTATTCATTCTTGTCTTCTTTTTGCAGTAAGTAGACTGCTAGTGTTTAGCCTATATACTTTATTTGCTCAGCAGTACAACGCCGTAGTAGAAAATTAAATAAACACTGAGAACGAACAAGTCAATCAAAAGGTTCTGTGTCTAAATGTCTACTTTACTTTCAAAAACACTTAAAGCATATCATAAATATAGATAGATTGAAAAATATTATAAATCAGAGACAACACACGTTTATAATTAACACAAATATCAAACAACGAGATTAATTTTAGCGCTGCATCTCTGAAGTAGTGAAATAGTTTGAGTTAAATATGATTCTAAATAGTAGTGTGTACTGAAAAAAGGACAATTCTAAATAGAAGAATTAGCCGAGATATTGAAATGAACGCATAAACAGATAAAATAATTAGTTCGTTGAAATAACTAAATATCACATGTAGCAATAGGTAAGTCGTAAAATGGTTATACTATTTGTTAAGAATAACAAACCATAAAAATATTGAGATTGTGAGACTTTCAAACCAATTGTAATTATTTGAATAATTCTGCCCAGTTAGCATAGGAGATGACCGAATTAGAAGTGTTACATTGTGAACTGATTCTGTGATGTGTGCTACTTTTGCTGATAGATATCAGCAGTAAGTAGCACCAATCGGAAGTAGAATTCCTACCATCATAAGATTGAATTCAAGAGAACAAGAAGGGTAATAGAAAGCAGTTGTAATAACAGAATTGGAAGAACCATGAAACTTGTAAGGGGCAACTGAAGGAAGATGTGCAAATAATGTATTTAATGTATGGTTCTCATTTTTTACGAATCCAATAATAAATAAGCTTTCACAATCATGGTCATCACGTTCGGTAGTGAATCCCTAAATTTAAAATCACTGAATAAGCGGTTAGTGGTTTTCATTTTTAACACCAGTGAATTCGCGATATTGTGTGGCCTTTGTGGATTCCTTTCTCATCCCCTATTTATCCTTGTGATCCATCTATTACAGCTTCTCAACTGAAATCCTAATATTTCATCTTTAAGTCATACGATTATTTTTAGTATAAGAGGTAAGTGGACACTATCTGATTTTTAATTTACATCACTAGTTCCTAGGTTCAATGAACTCCAACCCTTCTTTTTTGAGATTCAGTTTATCCTACTCAAAATTTATAAGTAGCTCAATAATCTTAGCCTAAACATTTCAAATTGAAAAAAATTACGCTTGACCTTGACAATCAAAAATTTCGTGTGGATAACCCAGAGACAAGCTACGATGTAAAGATCATACAGTTCATTGGTTTGGTTAAACTGACAACATAAGAAGTCATGTTTTTCAACCAATCTGATTATACTATATATTGTAGTAAACTGTTTGTATACTATAAATTATTTAATAATATCGATAACTTCAATACCCTATACTATCCTCAAAACAATAAATCAGAACTATTTAGCTGAGATCTTCAAATCTACATCGTCCACTTGTAGTTTAGATAAAGCTTCAAGACTGATGTTGTGGTTGTGTACCATCATGTTGATATCCTTTCTAGATAGAGCGTCAGCAACAATGTTGGAGGAGCCTTTGATGAACTGGATGTCCGTAGTGAATTGAGAAATGTAATCCAGTTATCTGGCTTCCCGTGGAGAATGTTTGTCGTAGGTCGTGTTGAAGGAATAGCAAAGTGGTTTATGATCAGTCATAATGGTGAAATCGCGTCCCTGAAGGAGGAAGTTGAAGTGTTTTACAGCTAAGTACATAGCCAGAAGTTCGCGTCCGAAGGTGCTATAACGCTCTTGAGTTGATGATAATCGTTTGGAAAAGAACGTTATAGGAGTAATCTTGCCGTTAACGTGTTGCTGTAATACTGCTCCTACTGCTTTTTGGGAGGCGTCAGTGCAGAGGATGAGGTTTGTTGTGGGATCGGTGTTTAGGTGCTGTAGCATGGTAGCATTGGATATCATCAACTTTGCTTTCTCGAATGCTGTTTTGGCGTCAGGGGTTAGGTTGAATGTCTGACTCTTCTCTCTCTTCGTACCTTTTTTGTCAGCTTTCAGCAGATCGGTTAATGGCTGTAATACTTCAGCACAACGTGGTAAGAAGCGGCGATAAAAATTACACATACCGAGGAAGTGTCGTAATGACTTCACCGAGGTTGGTTCGGGGTAGTTAGTAATATCTTCAACTTTCGTCTGAAGTGGTTTGATCCCTTGTTAGTCGATGTAATGTCCCGAAAACTCTAAGGCTGGGACTGCGGATATGCATTTCGAAGGATTGATGACAACACCATGTTTTTTAAAACGATCAAAAAGGATCTGGACATGTTGGATGTGCTCTTCTAAAGATGAGCTTGCAATCAGAACATCGTCGATGTAGGCAAACACGAAATCAAGGCCTCTTGTTACGTCATCCATGAAGCGTTGGAATGTCTGCGCAGCGTTTTTCAGTCCGAATGGCATCCTTAGAAACTCAAACAAACCAAAAGGTGTTATTATGGCTGTTTTCTCAATGTCTTCTGGTGCCATCGGAATTTGATGGTATGCGCACACGAGGTCAAGTTTCGAGAAGATGCATTTACCATGCAAATTTAACGAGAAGTCATGTATATGAGGGATAGGGTACCTATCAGGGATGGTTTGATTATTCAGACGGCGATAGTCACCACA